GAAAGAGATTATTAAAGTGATGAACAAATCTTGACAATATTAAATCAGTATAGCCAGTCAATTTTGGATAATGACAATTCCTTTGGAATAGCATGTCAACTATTAACAAGACTTTTCCAAGAAGTCGAGTGCAACAAACTGAGTGATGTTATTGTAAAATTAAGTGAAAAGTATTATAAGGAAATATCACCTGACATTTTAAGAACATACACTAATTGTTTCACATTAAGAGAAGGAGTAGAACTTACTAATATTAAAGATTTTGAAGGGAGACTAAAACTCGATAACGCTATACAAAAATTTATGGACATGATTATTGATCCTAAATGGGGAATCAAAAATACTTTCACAAACTTATTAATTACATCGATTAGTGTTTATGAAAGGAAAGTTTTGGATTGCGATAAATTCAAGAAAGTGTTGACTCATATCACTGATCGATTAGAAAATCCATCAATGAATCCTACAACCTCATTCAGTTTTCTGGAACCCTCAACAGACTTCCCCGATTACTGGGAACTAGTAAAAACCATTGAAGAACTGAAAAAGCTAACGAAAAAGCTATGAAAACTTTCTACCTTTTACGGATGTGGTTAAAACTATTTCGATCAATTGTAATGAAACAATTTGTAAAGGTTAGAATTTAAATCAATTTTTCACAATTTTTTGGTCACTGTTTTAAATTACCTTAAGCCTATTTTTAATGAAACTTCCTTGTTTTGTAATAGTTATGTTTCTAACTTGATTAGTGAGCTGTGAGCCTGGAATTTTGATTTCTGACGATGCAAGGTAATCAGTCTTGCAAACACTAGTGGAGGCTGACAAATCATCTTAATAGTTTCATACCTTTTTGGACAGAGGTTGGCTCTTCCAATACTTCTTCAGATTCCTCCTTTCTAGGTTTCTTACCAGACTTTCCATAAACCTTAGCAGATTTCTTTTCTTCAAATAGTCCAGTTACTAGTCCTAAGAGTTACCTTCATAGCAATGCAAGGTTGAATAAACCAAACTTGCTTTATCGAATTGAGTTGTGAGTAACTTCTCAAATCGGACGGGGTGAGTGCATGAATCGGGATATGGTCGTACCAATTCATCTTTTGAAGGAATTTGATATGGCCTTTTTATATTATATTTATATTAATTATAATAAATTCTGAAGCAATATACTTGTATCACCAAATTAATTGCGATCATCAATTGTTGAAAGAGTGGCACTAACAATCATTTATTACCTCTTTAATACACAATCACTGAAATCAACATCTTTAACACTGTACTTAATATGAGTGATGGAATCTTGATCTCTTCCTCCATTAGTTGTGAAGAATCCATTCTCTTTGACTCCTGTAGAATCAAAAGTAAGACAAATTTCATCCTCCCCAACCAAAACAAATGACCTATCAAATGCCTTCAAAAGCCAAAAATCACTTTGACCTGCCTCAATGTCAAAATATTTGATATGTTCAAGAAAATGACAAAATTCATCCAACGATTTTCTATTCTCGAATGTAATGTTCTTCAAACCAATATAAGGGTTTGTAATGTTGCATGTTTTAAATAATGTTGCCAAATTTTCATTCACAAAGAAAGTTCTGTCAGTTTCTCCTCTTTTCAATTTGTCAAAATAAATTTTGAAAGATTCACTCACTGGAAGTGTCAAATTCAATGCCTCTAATAAATCTGAAACGAAATGTTGGCAATTAGCCCCTAATAATGAATAATTCTTGGTTGCATTGTAATTGCATGAAATTTTTGTAATCAATTCGAATGCCTTCTTGACATTGTCAGCTCCAGCAATTTCTCCAATATCAATGGCTGCAATGGTATTATTAGTATCAAGTTTCTGGTCTGAATCGCACTCAACTCTCACCAATGAATTATCATACCATTCAATTTTCCATTCTCCAATTAAGATTCCTGTGTGAACAACGCCATAATTATTTACATTAAGAATGGCTGCGAATGTAGCCATTGCCTTCTTGGTTAATTCGTGTTTTCCTAAAGATGAAACCAATAACTTGACTCTCACAACTGCAGGAATATTGGAAACAATTCTTGAATTTTTCTTCATTGTAGGACGAACAAAGTGAAAATGCATGAATCTGTCTTCACAGACATATCTTTGAGCTTCCAAATCTAAACTTTCACTGTATCCGACCTTCTCTGGTGTAATGTTGAATTCTTTAAGGCATACTCTAATCTTTTTCTTGGCCATCTCAACACCTTTAAATTCGGCTTGTGATAATCTCCAGCTTTCTATTGGAATTTGAACATCATATTCTTGATTTTCATTCTCTACACCATAAGATTCAGAGGTAACATATGGCCTAGTACTATTATTACATAACTTTAAGAAAGTACTTGTAGTTGTTGGACCATTGGAATCTCTTAAAGTTTTAGAGAATGCTCGGTCAACCTTGCCATTCCTTAAATTATCAAAATACTTGTCAAAGCATTCACTCTTTGGAAGTTGCAAATTCAAAGCAGATAGTACCTCAGATGTGAAATGTTGGCAATTGGCTTTGAATTGGTGATATTGAACTGATCCATTATATTTACAAATAATTTCTGTCAACTTTCTAAATGTTTGCTTAACATTTTCAGCACCACGTATTTCTCCAATGTCAATTATTGCAAGTGTCTTGTCAGATTCGATTTGTTCACTCCTTATACTAACAGTTGATGAGTTGACCCATTCAATCTTCCATTCACCAATTAAAAGGCCAGTATGAACAATTCCCATATCAGCATTTGAAAAGTAGCTCATTAACTTGGTCATAAAAGGACTATTACCTAAATCAGAAATCAACAACTTGACTCGCAGAAATGGTTCACAATTAACTTTGTTTGATTTTAGGTTTACAATAGAACTCATAAATTCCCTATTTAGTAATCTATCTTCACAGACCAAGTTTTGGGCATCCACTTCCAAATCGCCTGTCATTCTAGCATCTTTGGGAGTTCTATTATTCTTTTTCAAGAAATCATAATATTTCTCTAACTTTTTCTTGACCGTTTCAACCCGATCCCTTTCTAAAAATGTTAGTGCAGTTTTAATAACAGCAGGTGGTGGAATACCTGCCTCTGATGGATTTGTAACTGACAACAAAGCTTTTAAGTGTTCGAGAAGGTTAGAATGTAAACCCATTATCTCCTTCGTTGTTTCGTCAATATATTTTCCCACCCCAATCCGGCGCTTTTCACGAATCATCATTTGAGCAAAAGTTTCTCCCTTAATCCTAAGAGGCTGTCTAGTAAGCAATTTGAATAATATACATCCCAAACTAAATAAGTCTGCAGATTTATCCACTATTTGAGATGCCAATAATACCTCTGGAGCTGTATACTCATTGCTGTGTCTGAATTCTGATGGCTGGTTGTCTAGCACAGAATATTTGAAATCGAATAATTTAAATGTAAAGTCCTCTTCGAAAAATAAAATGTTTTCAGGTTTTAAATTTCCATGAATAATATTCATGGAATGTAATTTAAGAAGTCCTTTTTCTATTTGACTATAAATTTTCAAAGATTCTTCCAAATTAGGTTCATAATAAGTTAAATATTCATTCAAATTACAGGTTCCTTTGGGAGAAATTGAATATTTCAAAAACATGTCATAATCACCTGTATCCCATATTGGGACAATTTCATGTTGATTTACAATTTGTTGTCTTATTTTTTCATGCTTATTGCATTCGTATTCAGTTAGTATTGTCATTATTATTTCAGAATTGCCATTACCCGAAACTTGTCTCACTCCATAAAATTTCTCTCCTATAGGAACTTCATATTGTCCAATTTTTTCAATATTTGCGCAATTTTTTAGCTTCAATATTGATGGATTTTCTTTGATCAAATCCTGTTTGGTTGATACTATTATTTTGGTTTGTGAAGAATGTGACGACCCCATTTTTTTGCAAAATTATTGCTTAAATCTAATAATTATCTAGGACGTGATCAGCAAAAAACAAAATGCCTGTAAATCCGCTAGATTACATTCTATTAAAACTTGTCTCGTTGTCAATATTTAAAAACGTGGATCATATCAAAACTGTACATTTGAGTGCATCTTGTTACTCTTCTAATTATTTTAGAAAAGTAATGAGAGTCTATTCGGATAAAGAGGAAACTTGTGTTGTTGTAAAATTTTGCACATCCAACATGCCTAATGATGTTATGAAAGTTTATGATAGAATATGTAATATAAACTGTGAATATCTTGTCAAACCAATGTACCGTGGCGAAATAGGTGAATATTATTACTTTATTTTCCCACAAGCAAAATGTGATTTAAAACAATTTCTTGAATCCTATACGACAGCAAAACAAAAATTACTGATATTCCGTGATGTTTGTTCAGGAGTGAAAGCTCTCCATCTAAATAATATCACTCATTGTGATTTAAAATCGGAAAATGTTTTAATATTTGAGGAGAATGGTCAAATAATTGCCAAGTTGACAGATTTCGATGAAGCCCAAATTTTCGATGAAAATATCACTTCATCAACTATTCCGTGCCAGTCGCATTTCTTTAGATCGCCTGAATCTTTTCGTGATGAATTGGAATGCCATAATTTCCCATTGATGGATATGTTTAGTTTGGGATGTATTTTGTTTGATTTGTTTCGAGTAACAGAGAGAAAACCATTAGCAGCAATATTTATCAAGTCCAATACAGAAGCAGAAAAATGTGTTAAAGAATCAATAGTTGACAATAATCTAAAAGAGCTACTGGTTACTATTTTACTTAAATTAATTACAACCATGGAACAAAGGTTAACTATTAGCGATCTGTTAATCGAAATTACACAATTAATCAAAGAAGAAAGAGATTATTTAAGTGATGAACAAATCTTGACAATATTAAATCAGTATAGC